TTGATGTTGAGAGAGATTAATGACCAGTGGCTGTTAGATCCTTTGATTTTGATGTTGGCTGTGTTCATAAGGTTGTGTGCTTGGTTGCTTTTTGTTTTGCTGTAGTAAGGTTAATTATTTCCTGTGTTTTCTTGACAGAAGCTAATTTTCTTGGGTTGTATTTTCCCTTCCAGTGTCTTCTGTAATGCTGGATTTGTGTGTAGGTATTGTTGAAATTTGTTTTTGTCATTGGATATCTTGTTTTCTCCGTCTATGAGGACTGAGAGTTTTGCAAGGTATAGTAGCCTGGGTTGACATCTGTGTTCTCTTAGGGTCTGCATGATATCTGTCCAGGCCCTTCTGGCTTTCATAGTTTCTGTTGAAAAGTCAGGTGTGATTCTAATGGGTTTGCCATTATATGTTACTTGGCCTTTTTCCCTTGCAGCTTTTAGTATTTTTTCTTTGTTCTGTACACTTACTGTTTTGATTATTATGTGGTGGGAGGATTTTCTATTCTGGTCAAATTTGTTGGGTGTTCTGTAGGCCTCATGTATCCTTATTGGCTTCTCCTTTAACTGGGGGAAATTTTCTTCGATTATTTTGTTGAAAATATTTTCTGGGCCTTGGAGAAGGGAGTCTTCTTTTTCCTCTATACCTATTATTCTTAAATTTTGTATTTTCATATTGTCTTGGATTTCTTGGATGGTCTGTGTCAGGAATTTTTTGGATTTAACATTTTCTTTGACAGATAGGTTGATTTCTTCCATTGTATCTTCTACACCTGAGATTCTTTCTTCCATTTCTTGTATTCTGTTGGTTATGCTTACCTCTGTAGTTCCTGTTTTCTTCCCTAAATTCTTCCTCTCCATTATTTCCTCCATTTGTGTTTTCTTTAATTTTTCTAGTTCTATCTTCAGGTCTTGAGTTGTTTTGTTTACTTCCTTCACCTGTCTGATTGTATTTTCCTGTTTTTCTTTTAGTTCCTTCAACTCTGTTTCTTTTATTTCTTTCAGTGATTTAATTATTTCTTCTCTGAAGGCTGCAAACTGTTTGGCTGCATCTTCCCGTATTTCTTCACGGATGGCCCTAATCTGCTTGTCTTTATCTTCCTCCATTTCTTTACGGATAGCCATGATCTGTTTGGTTTTATCTTCCTCTAATTTTTTACGGATTTTATTTGTTTCCTCTATTATCCTCTTCATCAACATAGATGTAAGGTCATCTTCTTGATTTTCTATTATGCTGCATTGTTCAGGGCTGTTCGCCCCTGGACGGCTGAGTTCTGGAGATGCCATATTGCTCTGTCTTTTGTTGGTTGAGCTTTTATGCTGACCTCTACCCATTGGGCTGATTTAGGTGTTGGCTGTTAGTTTCTGTGCTTCCTGGAGTCCTGAGGTAGGGAGTATCCCCTTGGCCGGCAGATGATTTTTCCTGAAGGAGTCCTTCTATGCTTTTTGGTTATGGTCACTGTATGGCCAGTGTTTCTCAGGAGATGCCATTGCTCACCTCAGGTTTATAGCCCTGAGTAGTAGCTGTGGTCCATGTTAGGCAGGGGGGGCTCTCATCTCACCCATAGAAGTTCTGAAGATAGCTGCCCCACTGCTGGGTTTCTTGTTATAAATTTAGTGTGCTGCTGCTCACTAAATTTCCATGTACAGTCCTCTTGAAGAACCTGCTGATTCCCTAGCTGTGGGGTTTTCTCCCAACAGGGAAACTCAGTCTGTTATCCTGGGGCACACAGTTCTGTCCAGGAAAGTGAGAGGTGCACTCAGCAAGTCTCTGGGCCAGAGGCTGATTGCTCTGCTCTGGACCTGGAGAATGTGCACCTAGGTTGAGTTGGCGCCTGGGGGCACTGCTCTGGTCTGGAGGCTGGGTGCCTCACTCTGGAGCAGAAGCTGTGTGTCTCTGTCTGGAATGGCGGCTGCAGGCACTGCTCTGGTCCAGATGCTGTGGGTGCAGCCCTCTTGGAGGGCCAGGGATTCCCACAGTTTTGGCAGTCTAGCTACGGATAACTGGTTGATCCTTGGCACAGTATCTGAGGGCTGCTGTAATGGCTCTCTGCCTTTTGTAGGTCTGAGGATGCAGCTGTGTGTCCCAGTGCCCCAGGGGAACTCAATAATGGCGGCAGAGCACAGCGCTTCTGCCTGCACTAGAGTCTGCGTGAGTCCAGGAATTGTTTTGGTGCTGGGTGTCCTAAGCGTTAGAGCTGCTGACCCCCTCCGCTGGGGGTTTTCTCCTGCCAGAGACACGCAGTCTGGTTCCCTGGTGCCCACAGTTCTATCTCAGGCGGCGAATCAGGTGCACAGGCAGGCGCCTGTGTCCCGGCTCTGGGTCCGGGCTGGCTCCTGGGGCACCTGCGGAACCCGAGTCTTTTCCAGGGGATGTCTGGGTAACCTGAGGTTGGTCCCAATTGTTTCCTGCTCCGTGGGGTTATCTCTCGACTGGGAAATCCAGTCTATGGTGCTGTGGGCCCACAGTTCAGTCTGGGACCGTGACCAGTTTGCGCTGGCAGGTAGCTGGGGCTGGCGACCAAGCGCCTGGCGGAACCGGAATCTCTTCCGCGGTTTAGCCGGGTGAGTTAAAGCTGATTGAATCCCCCACCGTGGGGTATCCTCTCACCTGTGAAACACAATCACTTGTGTTTTATGGCCGCGAGTTCTGATTGCTGGTCACTGTGCCTCTCCTGCTGTGTTGCTCCTCAGAATAAGAGTCCTCCCGGCGCCGCCATCTTGCCCCGCCTCTCCTATTTTTCCAATTTTCAATGCAAGTGTTTCTTTACCTATGAAGTAATTTTCTTATAAGGTAAGAATCTCATGTTTAGATGTTTGGTTGATTTAGGCAGTGTATATATTTTAATTAAGGAATTTCACCTGTTAACACCCAAGCTCATTATTTATAATTAAAGCTATCCCACTGTAATTCATTCATTTTCTTTTTTCTTTTATATATATTGTTCCCTTTTTTCTCATATTTTTTTTGTAAGTTGGTGGTTTTTTCATTGTTACTTTGACTGGTAAAGGCAATACTGAAATAAATATCTGAATATATCTGTGAGTAAATTTTCAGAAAGGATTGCCTTCTCCATTCTCTATGGTGTGTGTGTGTGTGTGTGTGTGTGTGTGTGTGTGTGTGTGGTGTCTCTGCCACATGATATTATCACAAAAACTGGTACTGACCTTGCTTGCCAGGTTGGAAACTACTCCTTCAAATCATGGGATAAAATACATCTGTAATATCAAAATTTGGTTTTGGCAAAGGAATTGGTCAGTGTGGTGAGAAGTTAATTAAGGTAGGTTGCTTTTAAAACCAAAGAATTTCTGTAAAGGATGCATCCTACAGTGGTTTGAAAGTTTGTATTTCAGTAAAACATGAGGGCAAACAAGGAGGCCCAGGTAGATCACATGTCAATATTCAAGGGCTTCTTAGGCAAACAGAAACATTTGGGAATCTCAGAAATGGTAGGTGTTGTGTTTCCTGAAGAGGAGGGAATACAGATTTACCTACTCATCTACTCAGGGGATTTGTGCACTAAGATTTTGAGAATAAACTACCCAGCTGGGCCTAGGAAAGGCTCGTAGATAGATAGGTTGGACAAAATGTGAAGTAGAAGTTTCTCATTTCTTCGAAAATTCAGTTGTGTCATGTAAATACAGATTTTGTTTTGGTTCCAAGTGTGGGATGTGAGACTGTCTTTCCCCTGTGGAAAACTGCCCCTGTGAAAAGGCATTCAATGTTTGTCAGGTGGAAACTATCTGAATCAAGGGAGTTTTCCCACTTTGGTGTACTGATGTAGTTTAGGTGGAGTCTTACTGTTTGGCTGAGTGGTACCACCTCTGCTGCTGCTGTGGTTTGCTGCTTTGCTGTTTGTCTGGACTGCTGATATCCTGACTACTGAGATTGTTATATCCCCAAAGAGCCCAAGGATTCTGGTCAGGTGGATGTAGGTAAAAGAGGTAAAGATTCCCTTTTCCTATTAATCTCCCACCTAAGGTCAGGGTATGGGAAGGGAGGAAGAGGTGTTTAAGAGCATCAGGTAAATTAGGTATTTGAAAAATCTAAGTCTATAGAATTGGTTGCAAAGCTTAGCAACAAATGCTACTAAGGCCTGTCTATTTGGCTGTTTCCCTAGCAGCACTGATTGGCAGAAACTCTTATCTGTCTCATACCCAAGGTTTCTATCAGGAAGACACACTGTCAAGCTTATTTAGAAATTGTATGTAAGTGAATACATGAATCAACATTCTTTTTTGCATGTCTCTTTCATATCTTTATTTTTTTAAATCATATTCAATTTTTTTTAATTTTAATTTTTATTAATTACAATTTATTCACTTTGTATCTCCCCTGTAGCTCCTTCCTTCTTCCCCTCCTGACCCCACTTCTCCTTCTTCTCTACCATGCCCCTACCCCAGTCCACCTATAGGGGAAGTTTTCTTCCCCTTCCTTCTGACCTTAGTCTATCAGGTCTCATCAGGAGTGGCTGCATTATCTTCCTCTGTATCCTGGTAAGGCTGCTCCCCACTTAGGGGGAGGTGATCAAAGAGCAGCCCAATCAGTTCATGCTGATACTGCAGCCAAGGACCATTCATGGAGATAACCTAGAACCCCTGCACAGATGTAGCCCATGGCAGTTCAGTGTCCATAGTAATGGGGACAGGGACTGTCTCTGATATTAATCAACATTCTTACAAAAAAGGTTCTTGAAAATGATATCCACAAACACTGACAAGCTCTGTAGTTACTACACCTTGGGTTCTAGTTGAAATAAAAGTCAGACTTAACCTCTCACTAACAAGTGTTCTTTCCACTCTTCAAATCTTTTGCAAATGTAAGAGTTACACACTCAGATCATGACTCCTAACTTTACTTCATTACAAAACATGTGACATTAAACACGCACATGCAAATATTAAAAAGTTAAAATTTTTCTTTTACTACCTCCCTCAGCCTACAAATTAATTGAGTATATTTGCTTTAAACAACTCAGGTTACATTTTAACTCATTGCTCTTTTCTGTTTAGACATGAGGGCAAACAGTGACAGAAGGGAAGACACTCTGAACAGAGGACTGTGCTCTCCCAGGATGCCTGTGAGGTGGATTTCTGCCCTGCTCCTGCTGCAGATGAGTTGCTGCTTCAGATCTGCTAACTGTGGAAAGGTGTTGGTGTGGCCGATGGAGTACAGTCACTGGATGAATTTAAAGATAATATTGGATGAACTTGTACAGAGGGGTCATGAAGTGACTGTTCTGAGACCATCAGCTTCCATTTTTCTTGATCCCGAAAAATCGCCTGGCCTTAAGTTTGAAACTTTTTCTACAACTATCAGTAACGATGATCTGGAAAATTTTTTTGCAAAGGCTGTGAATATGTGGACTTATGAGCTGCCAAGAGATACATGTTTATCATATTCTCCTTTGCTACAAAATATGTTTGCAGAATATTCTGCTTATTATCAAAGTCTTTGTAAAGACACAGTTTCAAACAAACAGCTTATGGCAAAACTGCAGAAATCCAAGTTTGATGTCCTGATCTCAGATGCGATTGCTCCCTGTGGGGAACTGATAGCTGAACTGCTCCATCTTCCTTTTCTGTACAGTCTTCGTTTCACTCCTGGCTACACATTGGAAAAGTACAATGGAGGATTTGTGCTCCCTCCCTCTTATGTACCTATGATTTTGTCAGGACTAGGTGGCCAAATGACATTCTTAGAGAGGGTGAAAAATATGATATGTATGCTTTATTTTGACTTTTGGTTCCAGACATTTGATGAGAAGAAATGGGATCAGTTCTACAGTGAAACTTTGGGTAAGTTATGTTTCTCATCAATAGCCTAGGACCTAACTTTCACATGCATTTAAAGCTATCTGTCCATGAAATAAAAAGTGAGGTTTTCTTTTCTAGGTGGTCAAATATAATACAATATTGGCTAAGAAACTCTGAAACATTCTGCTAAAGCTCATTTTATTGATCAAATAGAAGAAGGCAGGAGACCTGATATAGGGCATTCTGGTCAGCTATACAATTGCAAAGAGACACAGTAGACTTTCTCTATGTGATTCTTTACTCCTTTTCCTGTAATTTACCCTCTATCTTAATAGTTCACTAGCTAGTTACCAAAATCTTCATTAGTGTGCATTAAAAATTATATATTCAATAGAATATACATGCATATATAACATTGAAGAAATTATTTTCTCTTGCATAGGGCTATGCTTTATTTAAAACCAAAATGTAGGGTCTGGAAAAATAAAATTATTGCTGCCTTGGCAAAACAAGGAAAAAGGACTAGTTACAAACTACACTGTCCCTGATGAAATCTGTCCAGGGTACATAGCATGGTTTGTGTTTTGAACCTGGAATGTGTATTTGCATTTGCACTGGTCCTTCTGAAGCTTAGATAGGAGTAAAACGTGTGCTTATTATTACAGTGGTTTAGTGAGTCATTTCAAATTATTGTGAAAACATGAGGTAATTGTTATATTTTGCATTAAAATTAAACCAAACTGACATTTATGTATATAACTAAGGTTCACATCTATTACACATGCAAATTATGTTACATATAAATAAACATTGGGTTTAAAATGCACATGCTCTACATCAAACACCAATTCTTCCAACATCTCTACGAAAACATATTTTATATTCAGATGACAATCCAGTTAGCTTTTTCCCTTCTCATTTGCTCATCTTCTCCATCTAGGAAGGCCCACCACCTTAGCTGAAACAGTCAGCAAAGCAGAAATGTGGCTCATTAGGTCCTACTGGGATTTGGAATTTCCTCACCCGACCTTACCAAATGCTGACTATGTTGGAGGACTCCACTGCAAACCTGCTAAACCCTTGCCTGAGGTAAGTACAATTTTTTAATTTCTTTTGTTTTTTTATTTCACTTGTGCTGAAAGTGATTCTACACCTTTCACTACATTTTCTCCCAGTGACAGAGTTATATAGGAATCAAGCACACTGCTAACTAGCAGCTCAGTGAACTCAAGAGAGAACATGAGAGACATAGGAAATGTTCATATCATTTGAGTTAAACGAAGTCAGGTAAGGTACTTGGGTGGTTAGTCACCGGGTAAGGTTATTACCAAGCAACCCAGAGGATGTGAGTTTGAATCTCCAAACCCATGTAATAAGTTGGGTATCCTGGCATGGTATGTATGACTTTAGTCCTGAGATGGCAAAAACAGGGTAAGACCAACAGCTTGATGGCTATTAACCTGTTAAGAATGGTGGGATTCATGTTCAATTAGAGACAGAATAAAAAATATATATTAAAGATTGATAGGGAAAGACTCTCGATTTTGACCTTTGGATCCATGTGCAAAAACAAAGACAGGGACTCTCTCCAATACCACCACCTCTCAACACACTTACAAAAACATACACACAGGTCCATGCATAGACACACAAAAGACAAACAAATTCAGTTAGTTAAACTGGATGAGAAACTGTCATTTATTCAAAAGTGGTGACTAGTGTATATCAGAGGTAATGGTTTGATATCAAATGAAACAATATAGACACAGTTTCAGCTCTAAGCAGTAGATTGTGGAGGTCATCTCTGAAAATGCCCTATTTATACATAATATCAGAAAATCATAATGGTACATGTTTTCAGTGCAGTTATGAATATTTTGCAAAAGAAAACATTTTATTGATCATAGTTGGAAATTTTTATTAACTACACGTATGTATATACTACAATAAAGATACTATTTCATCAAACATTAGTTAATAATATTAAATGAACCATCATAGAGAACAAAAAATACTAAGGAAAAAATACACTCTACTTAGAATGAGAAAATGTAAATGAGCTACAATTTAATGACTACATCATACATAGTATACTTTTACTTTTGCGTTTTCATTTTGCCAGACCAAAATATTTAGTAGGTGGTTGAATTATGTGTGAGTACACTTGGAACTGCTGCCTGTGACGTTCAAAGTGTTTGACCTTGCTATTTTTGTCTTCTGCATTTTTAACAGCAGTATTCTAAAACTTCCTAGGAACACTTCAATTTTTATTCTAGTTATTTTCATAAAAATTTACACAAGTGATTTCTCTTCAGTTGTTACTTTGTGATGAAGCAGGTTCTTTCTTAACAGGAAATGGAAGACTTTGTCCAGAGCTCTGGAGAGCATGGGGTTGTGCTGTTCTCTTTGGGGTCCATGGTCAGTAACATGACAGAGGAAATGGCTAACACAATTGCATGGGCCCTTGCCCAGATTCCACAAAAGGTGAGATAAAGTCCCCTCATTGGAGGCAACTCTATAAATGTCCTTCAAAGGTCTGATTACAGTGGGAACAGGGACATGAACTGATTGGCCTGCTCTTTGATCACCTTCCCCTGAGAGGAGAGCAGCCTTACCAGGCCATAGAGGAAGACAATGCAGCCACACCTGATGAGATCTGATAGATTAGGATCAGAAGGAAGGAAAGGAAGACCTCTCCTATCAGTGGACTTGGGGAGGGACATGTGTAGAGAAGGGGGAGGGAAGGTGAAATTGGGAGGGGAGGAGGGAGCGGTTTATGGGGTGATATAAAGTGAATAAAGTGTAATTGATAAAAATTAAAATAAAAAAGTTCTTTAAAAAAATAAATGACAAAAAAGGGTCTGATTACAGAAATTACTGGTGAAAGGTAAAGTTTTAGGTAAGCTGTAATTTACATTACCCAATTTAGAAACAGATATGCATAACAAACGTTACAATTTTTACAAGTTTTCCAGAAGTTGTTTTTGACCTAGAATATCTTGTATATAAACATTGTGATCTCTGTGGGCACATTCTGAAATGCTGGCGTGAGAGGACCTTGCTCTTCAGAGTCACTAGTTACATTTGTTGATTATTTAAACTCAATGCATACATAAAAGTTTTGGTGGGATTATTCACATTTATTTTATTTTCTAGCCGAATAATATTATGCAGGTATTGAAACTGTCTGAAATGTATCATGGCTCTGCTCTGCATCCTAATTTTGAAGCAGGCCTGTTCAATGTGTAGTTGAGAGGGCCATTTAAATTCTCAATTGTCATTCAAAAGGCCCAGGCGTCTTTTCTGAGACTGATGCTAGTAAAGGCATTACACAGTAAGCCTATAGCCAACATCAAAGAAAACAGAGAGAAACTTAAAGCAATCCCAGTGAAATCATGGACAGGGTAAGGCTGTCCACTCTCTCTACATTTCTTCATCATAGTTCTTGAAGTCCTTGCTAGAGGAATAAGACAAGTAAAGGAGATCAAGGGCATACAAATTGGAAAGGAGGAAGTCAAAGAATCACTATTTGCAGATGATATGTTAGTGTACATGAATGACCCCAAAAGTTTTACCAGAGAACTTCTACAGCAGATAAACACCTTCAGCAAAGTGCATGGATACAAAATTAATTTAAAAAAAATCAGTAGCCCTCCTGTATGCAAAAGAAAAAAGAGCTGAGAAAGAATTAGGGAAATAACACCCTTCACAATAACCACAAAGGACATAAAGTACCTTGGTGTGACTCTAAATAAGCAAGTCAAAGACTTGTATAAAAAAAAGTTCTAGTCTCTGAAGAGAGAAATAGAAGAAGACATCAGAAGATGGAAAGATCTCCCATGCTCAAGGCTTGGCAGGATTAACATAGTAAAAAAGGGGACTGATACTCCAACCAAGAACCATGCATGGAGATAACCTAGAACCCCTGCACAGATATAGCCTGTGGCAGTTCAGTCTCCAAGTGGGTTAATTAGTAAGGGGAACAGGGATTGTCTGACATGAACTCAGTGGCTGGCTCTTTGATAACATCCCCCTTAGCGGGTAGCAGCCTTACCAGGCCATAGAGGAAGACATTGCAGCCAGTCCTAATGAGACCTGAAAGGCTAGCTAGGGTCAGATGGAAGGGGAAGACGACCTCCCTTACAAGTGGACTTGGAGAAGGGCATAGGGGGAGATGAGGGAGTAATATGTGATAGGGGGAAAATGAGGGAGGAGGCTGCAGCTGGGATACAAGTGAATAAACTGTAATTAATATAAAAAAGTTCTCTTTTGATTAACTTAAAAAAAGATAATTAAAAAAATGTTTCAGGGCTGCCTTGCAAAATAGTTGTAGAAGAAATACATAAAGGAAAGACAGATGTGAGTACTGCTCTTATAATAACCTCTGTGTATCATAAAATATGAAACACCCAGCTTTGCTTATAACTAGAGAGAATGAAAATCATAAGATTCAAGAAAGGAATATGAAAATAAGAAAGAGTCTAACAGAACCTGCTATGAAAACAGTTTCAGATGGCTCACTTCATAAAGCACACTATAAAGTAATTTTCTGGAGATTAAATTTAAATCTTTGAACATTTATGAACATAACAAATTTTCTAGTGGAAAAACCCCTCTATAATCATCTACATTAGTTTATTTGCTGTGATCCAGTATCAGTCACATAGTAAGTCTGTGTTAGACATGTGGACCATTCTCCATTTTACAAGATTTGTCTACAAACAATAGTGGTTAAACAAAAGTAAACCCACTCCTATCCACTACACCTGAGAGGAGAGTGAAAACACCTTCCAAGTACAATCTCATGTTTTGAAGAAACTGAGGTCAAAAGACTTATCTATTTTCTTGGAGTGGTTCTTAAGAATCACTAAGAATTCTTCTTCTGTGAATTCATTCCTGATATCACCCTCTTTGTAATTATTTTAGATAAAGAATTTCTAGAGTGGTTTTCACTTGAGAGGTAAATAAACCTAATGGTCGTTTGATGTGTGAGTATCCACACATGCACAGGTCTAAGAAGCTAGAATCACTAGAAAGAGATTCTCTGGTGACATAGGGCTCTGTGTGATTCATAGACTGACTTGGTGCTTATGGTCTTTATTTGGCCCAAGATGGGACAAAATTATATAAAATATAAATTATTAGTAATGGGCCACTGCTTTCTTTAATTGAATTATGACACCATGTCTATGTAGTATATATGTTCATGTGTCATGAACTATCTCATTTGTCTAAATAACCCTGCTTGGAAAATGAGGATTGCATTCAACCAGTCTGAATGTAAAAATAAACAGAGAAACTGCTGACACACTCTTCATCTCCATCTTTAAAGGATCTCATTACTCAACTATTTTGATTTCCTCATCAATACCAGAGGAAGTATTTAGCTATGTTATGTTTAAAATAAAAGTTACATATTTAAAGTTATTTTTTGAAATTACTTTTTGTTTTGTTTTATTTTTATATTTTTTGTTTAGATGTTTACTATTAATCTGAATCATAGCTCCCTGTCGCCTCCCTGTCCTCCCCTCACACCTTTCTCTCCTTCTCCTGCCCCTAAAATAGTGGAGGCCTTCCCCGCACAAACCCACTTCACCACACGCAGTCTCATTAGGACTGTGTATTTCCTCTTTCACAGTGTCCTGGTTACACAGCCATGCCAGGGTGAAGTGATCAAAAGTCATGCAACAAAGACCTTGTCAGAGACACCCCCCATCCCTTTTCTGGGGCACACACATGGAGGCTAAGCTGACCATTGTGTATATACATGTAGAGTGTCTAAGTCTAGTCCATGCCTGGTCCTTGGTTGGTGTTTCAGTCTCCCCAAGTCATGTTGGGAGCAGGTTAGTTGGAACTGTTGTTCCTCTTGTAGAGCTCCTGTTCCCTCTGGGTCATTCTATCCTTCTCCGCATTCTTCTACAAGGCTCCCTATATCATTTCTACCTTCCCACTCTTCTCTCCAAACTCTCTTGTACCGTGCCCCTTGCTCTCTTTCAAGTTCATGGCATCTTTTTCATTAACTGCTGGTACATACATAAAAGTACCTATACATGCATTTATATTCCTAAATATAACTTGCTCAGTCTGGAAAATGTTAAATTTGGCTCCAGAAATCAAGATAATCTCATATTTAACAGGTTCTTTGGAGATTTGATGGCAAAAAAACAGCCAACTTAGGACCCAATACTCGAGTCTACAAGTGGCTCCCCCAGAATGATCTTCTTGGTAAGACTCTGGAAAACAATGCTGAGTCATGACTGACTTTCTCTATACCCATCCTGGTTGACTTCAAAAGTCTTCATATTACACTTAGAGAAAGCACTATTTATTTAAAGATAACAAGTTCTGTTATACATCTGGTCTTTTGTTAACATTCATTTTCTCTTATCTACTATGTACTGTGTGTGTTCAACTATGTACTTTATGTGTTCACTATTATATAGTTCAAGTCTCAAGTCACATTCAAATCTGCAAAACGGTCTCTGTATATTTAACTTCTTCTTACTCTGAGAAAGGAAAACATTTCAGTGAGGTTTGAGTATAAAAATCTTCATGTAGAAAAATCTCCTTTGAGCTCCTCATAGTATTCATTTCTTTTCTTATGTCTAAGACAGCTAATTAATGTTAACCTGAATTCATCTTATTCTAGGACACCCCAAAACCAAAGCCTTCATAACTCATGGTGGAGCCAATGGCGTCTATGAGGCAATCCACCATGGAGTCCCCATGATTGGCATTCCTCTGTTTGGAGAACAACATGATAACATTGCCCACATGGTGGCCAAAGGAGCAGCCATTGCATTAAATATCAGAACAATGTCAAAGTCAGATTTGCTCAATGCCCTGGAGACAGTCATCGACAATCCTTCGTGAGTGTAACTTCCTAAAATGTGTATCCATTACTTCTTTATTCATTGTGCTTCTTAGGGAAGGCCAAAGAAGCAAGAATTATCTTGAAGGCAAAAATAATGATAGGTGCAGAGACAAATTAGAACATGATTCAGTGCCATGATTTTTTTCTTCTTTCTTCTTGTTCTTTATTTCCATGTTTTACTTTATATTTCCTTGCAACGTGTATCAGGCTGGTCCAAAGTGTAAAACTTTTCTGCTTCATCCTCCAGACTGCTTGACCAACAGGCATATGCCACCAGCACTGACAAATTTTTCTTTTCAATTCTTTTAGAAATTAATTGTTTAGCATTTTAAGGATAGTACAGAACTTACATAGCAAATAAGCAAAGTGAAATAAAATGTCAGGTACCAATCAGATCTGTTGCACACAGAGGCCATAGGATAACACTACCACAATCAAGTTTGAGTGTTATAAAAGAGATAAGTAACTTTTATGGCAGTTATAATATTCAGCATAGAAATAAAATAGATATTAACATAAAAGTAAAGTGTATGGTTGGATGTTTAAATATGCAACCTAATGTTTTAAGATAAATGTCAAATAGTGAAAACATAAGAGTAAAACAAAGAATATGTCCATATTCATTTCTTTAATTAAAAAAATCTAATTTGGAAGTTCTTTCCTGGAAAAGACTATTTCTCTCCCACTGTCATCATTCCTCATGTACCTATAATAATTTTGTGCAGAATTGAGCTCAGGCTGAGATGTATTACTTTCTAATATTAGCTTGACTCTTGATGTCATCCTTATTAAGATCTTAGTTAAGAAACCATATTGTTGAAACTTCATGAGTGTAACTTTCCTCAAGATGTAATTTCACAGCAGCTATCTTTGCCCTCCAGCTCTTATAATGTTTCAATCCTCTATTCTATGTTGTATCATGAAAGCTAGTTCTCAGGTAAGGTGATTTAAAGTCAGTTACAGATCAGAGGTCTTTATTTTCTGATGTGCATGCTCTTTCATCAATAGAGACTTACTTTCTACCTCTGGGGAATAACCAAGGGCAACATCAAGTCTGTATGTTTGTAAGTCTGTAAGTCTGTTTGACAGTCCTGGCCAACATCTCAAAACAGGGCTTCTCATGTCTGGCATTGGGGTTTATGTTCGGTCATCCTTGGCTCTTGGAAAGAGCACCCTCACTTCAGATAAGAATAGTTTATTACAAGGAAATCGTGAAATTTACAGGCAAAAGGTGGGAACTAGAAAAAAAAATCATCCTGAATGAGGTATCCCAGAAGCAGAAAGATACACATGGTTTATACTCCCCCATAAGTGGTTATTAGACATATACTATAGAATAAATATACTAAAATCTATACTCCTAAAGAAGCTAAACAACAAGGAAGAACCTAGGAAAGATGCTCAGTCCTCATTCAGAAGGACAAATGCCATAGACATTGGAAGCAGGAGAAGACAGGGAACAGGACAGGAGTTTACCACAGTCGGCCTCTGAAAGATGCTACTGATTGAGGTACGAAAGCTGATGCTGAGACCCAGAGCCAAACTTTGGGCAGAGTGCAGGGAATTGTGTGAAAGAAGGGGGAGATAGAAAGACCTGGAGGAGCAGGATCTCCACAAGGAGACTAACAGGCAAAAAAACACTTGAACCTTGGATAACCTGCAGAGACTGATACTCCAAACTCGGACAATGCATGAAGAAAACTTAAAACCCCAACTCAGATGTAGTCCAGAGATGCAGTCTCCAAGTGGGGCCTCTAGTAAGCAGAGCAGGGGCTTTCTCTGGCATGAACTCAGAGACAGACTCTCTGATCACCTCCCCCTGGGGGTGGGGGGGATGCAGCCTTGTCAAGCCACAGAGGAAGACAATGCAACCAGTCCTGATGAGACCTGATAGGCTAGGGTCAAATAGAAAAGAAGGAGGACCTCCCCTATCATTGGACTAGAGGAGAGACATAGGGGTAGAGAGGGAGGGAGGGTAGGATTGGGAGGAGACAAGGGAGGTGGCCACAGCTGGGATACAAATTGAATAAATTGTAATAAATGATAATAATAAAGAATAGCTTATAGAAACTATATATATGCTTATACATGGAATAGCATATAGAATAGAGAGTTGGATATAAGTTAATATATGTATTAGTGGCTTTTTTAGACATCCTTATTGTTATTTTATCCATTTTGCTCTTTCTGTATTAAGTTCGCTCCCCCTTCCAAAGGGTCCACTCCTCTTCCAATTTCCTTTATCAGACTACTGAATTTATCAGAATACAGCCATTTCCCTTCACCCTCTTACACCTTCTTCTTTATTTGCTTCCCTACCCCTCTCTAAGGAGCCTCTACTCTTCCCATTCTTCCATCAAAGAAGTTGAATCCTAAATTTAAAATACTGTAATATGCATACTAAGAAATGAGGATGATATAATAAAAAGCAATACACAAATTTCCAATCAATCCTTGTAAATAGTAAGAGGGTATGTTACCACCATTGCAATTACTACTTGTGCTACATCAAACTGATATTTGGGGTTGTTGACTCATGTCTCAGTGTAACCCTTCATTCTACATATTCATTCATAGTCATTTCAGCACTAGAATCAAATGCACTTGTAATGCTTCATTGAGAAATTTTGACCACTTTATTTCTAACATCACACTTCTAACCAAAAAGAAGATAATAAATAATAACAGGAAATAGGCTCAAGGATGGCTCAGTAGGTAAGAGCAAGGTTTACTCTAACAGAGAACCACAGCTCAGTTCCCAGTGCCCATGTCTGGTGGTATACAAAAACTCCAACTCCTCAAATATCATACACAAACATACACACATTTAAGAATAATAGCAAAAGTTTTTTATTACATTTTACAATAAGAATAATATATGTAATGCAATAATAATCCCTGTTATTGTAATAGAAAATTTAGACTTTCTATTAATTTCACTGAATAATTAGTAACTTTCATGAAAATACATAAAAATAACAAAAAGCAACCATTATGTCTAATTAATAAGAACCAGGACACTGTTGTAGTTATACTCTTTAATCACTGATATGTCATTCCGTAAAATTTTCTTTTCAAATCCAACCACTTATCACCATTACACAGACAGGTGTCATTGTGAGAACTTGAGAGAACGTAAACTCATACATTCTGATTCTGGTATAAAGTTTTCATGAAAAGTTGGTTTTCATTGCTTACTGGGTTGTTTATCACTCTAGAATGGCAATAGGACCTGGGAGATTAGGGCTGATAAATTAGACAAAATAAAGTCTCATGCAATACCCTACTTTTTTTTAGACATCAGGCACTCTGAGAGTTAAGAGGACTCACATGAGCAGTGTGGAAAAGCCATTACCAGAGAAGTACATTTATTCATAGATGCATATAAACAAATAGCAAAAGCCACTTGTAATGAAAAACCTCAAGTAAAATCATTCCTATCTGCTACACAAGGGAGGCGCACAAAAGCATAATCCGTGAACAAGTCCATGTTTTTTTTAACAAACTGAGGTTATAACACTCTTATCTTGTTTTCTTGGAGTTTTCTCATAAGCACTGAGGAATCTCCTCACATGATCTGGGACCATATTATGACACTGGATAACTGAAGTATCATAGACTCAAATAATACCTCATTTTGTTACTCTGTAATTTTTTTTTTCCTGGATCACAATACTTTTATTTTATTTTTATTTACTACAATTTATTCACTTTATATCCCAGCAATAGCCTCCTACCTTATCTCCTCCCAAACCTACCCTCCCTCCCTCTTCTCCTCCTATGCCTCTCCCCCAGTCCACTGATAGGGGAGGTCCTCTTCCCCATTCTTCTGACCCTAGCCTATTAGGTCCCATCAGGTCTGGCTGCATTGGCTTCCTGTGGCCTGGTAAAGCTGCTCCCCCATCAGGAGAAGGTGAACAAAGAGCCAGCCACTGAGTTCATGTCAAAGACAAACCTCTGTTCCCCTTACTAGGCTATACACTTGGACACTGAGCTGCCATGGGCTACATCTGTGCTGGAGTTCTAGGTTATCTCCATGCATGGTCCTTCAACTGTCTGTATACTTAACTTTGGGAACATTTTCTCTTTTCCAGCCTTTCTGAGTATATGCTTCCATATGCTTCTTGTATACTCAAGAAGCTCAGAGATTCCTGATAACATTTTCCTAGGCATGAATGTAAAACAAATCATTTTCCTTCTATTTTGTATAATCATCTTTACTGCCTACACACACAAAAAAAAAATCTTGTAAATTGTATTTTAATTCATTCAGTGAATTGATGCCTATTTTATCTCTTATAGCTATAAAGAGAATGTTATGTGGCTATCAACCATTCACCATGACCAGCCGATGAAACCTCTAGACAGAGCTGTCTTCTGGATTGAGTTTGTCATGCGCCACAAAGGGGCCAAACACCTGAGACCACTCGCCTTTAATCTCACCTGGTACCAGTACCACTCTCTGGATGTGATAGGATTCCTACTTGCCTGTGTGGCAGCCATTGCTACCCTTACTGTAAAGGGCTGCTTGCTTGTTTACCGATTCTTTGTAAGGAAGGAAAAGAAAAAGAAGAATGAATAGAGCTCATTGAGAACACACTACATGAACTGAATTTCAGCATCCTTCTAATTTATGAACCAACTTCCAGACATTCACTGATTACTTTATCAAGGCATATATTCTTTGTAATTTTTATAGCACGTAAGAAGACATATAGCTGTGACTACTGATATGTGATCAAAGAATGCCATGCCATCATTTCTTTTAATTTCTAAACTATGTAATGTAAAACAGTCATGCATAGGAAAACTGAAAATGTACTTGACAAAGTCTTAAAAATGAAACTATTAACCTACCAACATTTGAATACTGTTCATTTGATTCATTCTTCCATCTGACTCTGGAGATTTCTAAAATAAAAAAGAAAAACACTAAATTCTAAATACTCACAGATATATATGGTTTTCCTGTAAAAGTCTTCATTTTTGTAGTCTTGGGGATAGTGTGGTTTATTTTGCAAATACATTTTAAATGGTAGGAATCTGTATGTTCCACAGAAATTATTAGCAAAAATCAAGTGATCAAAATTTCATTCTAAAAACAGTATATAAAATTCAGTCATCTATTTCGTGGACTTAACTATATATTTTCTGAATTAATATCTATATAGAATGTGTTGACTATTAAAATAAAAAACTATTGTGACATACTAAAACAAGGTTTTCTCCACATATTTTCTTATGAAATTGTAGCATTTTAAAACATGCACTCCAGTTATCAAATGTTGATAAAGAACAACGTTCTGCAGTCTGGTGGAGAAGAAATATTTCAAGGCCTTTATTCAACAGTTTGCAAAGAAAAAAATTGAAGCTGAAAGAATAAGTAAAAACAGGGTTGGAAAATGAATTATTTACTCTTTTGTTGCTGTAACAAAATACACTGATCAAAAGCAGCTCACAGCAAAAACAAAACAGTTTATTTTGAATTTTGGTTAGGTCCTTAGAATGCATGGTAGGTGGGAAGGCAAGGCTGTAGGGAGCAGAAGGATTCTCCCTGATCACAAATAAGCAGCAGAGACAGTAGTAGAAAGTGGGCTAAAGCTGCAAATTTGCAGAGCTTCTTCCAGTGAGTGATACAATTCCTCCAGCAAGATTTAAATTCCTTAATACTCTATAACCTCAAACAGCACCACCAATTTAGGAAAAGGGGTTCAGCTACATCAGTTTATCAGAGACATTTTTTTATTCAAATTGTAACAGGAAATAACCCTGTTTCAAAAGTCTCATTTCTTAGCATCCCATAGGTTCTTAGCATTCTGTTACTCTATCTGTAAGTCTACCACAGCACCACAGAACACTTGCACTTCTTCAGTGTAAGTTAACTGTGATCATGAAGCTTGATATATGTTGGAAATGAAGTACATGAGCAAGGGATATTGACTAGCAGCCACACTGGTGGTCATTCATGAGAGGATCTGTTGTGATTGGAGAACTGTTATAAGAGAGCTATGTAACATTTATGGCAGTTATCTTTCAGCATCAAAATACAAAAGATATGAAGATAAAAATAAGTATATGGTTGTATGTATAAATATACAACCTAATATTTTAGGATAAATTCAAATAGTGAAAACATATTAGAGTGAAGCAATGAATGTGTCCATCAGTTTTCTTTGATTTAAAGAAATTCCAATTGGGAGATACTTCCCTGGAAAAGACTGTTTCCCACTCTCAGCATAATTCTGTGTAGAGCTGGGGCCAGGATGAGAGTTACCCCTGTCCATGTTAGCATGACTATTGGTGTCATCCTTATTCAAAGCCTGTTTAGGTGCCCATGCTGTTGAGACTACATGAGCATAGCTTTCTTGATATTTCTCAAAGATGCAACTTCACAGCAGATATCTTGGCCCTCTTATAGTCTTTCAGTCCTTTATTCTATGATGTTTCATTGGTAGTTAGTTCAATATTGGAAACAGAGGTTAATTATTTAAGGCTTATTTGTTCCATCAAATATTATCCTCTATATAAATTGACAATAGGAACTGGAAAAGAAAGTTACTTAGTGCCTCCATTAAGGAGAATACAAACATTAAAGTTTAAATTAAAATGTCATTGATGTAACAAATCTCTAATTATTTATCTTAGTATTCACTTTTATATCCATATAGTACACTCAGATTTCTTTCTGTATGTATTATTTCTCTGCTCTGTGGAGTTTTTTTGTTGGCTTTGTTTTTGTATTGGTACATTAGGATAATTTCACTAATTTTTTTAAAATTGAAACTAAAAGCATGAGTCATGATAACAGAAGCACAGAGTAACCAACAAATAAGATCAATCAAAGAGGCGGGGCAAGATGGCAGCGCCGGGAGTTCTCTCATTCTGAGCAGCAGCGGCAGGATTAGCACAGTGACCAGCAATCAGAACTTGCGGCCATAAAACACAGTCATTGTGTTTCCCAGGTGAGAGGATACCCCACGGTGGCAGATTCAATCAGCTTTTAACTCACCCGGCTAAACCGCAGAAGAGATCCCGGTTCCGCCAGACGCTTGGCTGCCGGCCGCCGCCCCAGCCCCAGCCCAGAGCCATAAGCCAGTGTCTCTGGTCACGGTCCCAGACTGAACCATGCGCACCACACTATCAGAGACTGGAATTTTCAGTCGAGAGATAACTCCACGGTACAGGAAACGATTGGGACCAACCTTAGGTCACCAGACATCCCCTGGAAAAGACTCAGGTTCCGCAGATGCCCCAGGAGCCAGCCCGGAGCCAGAGCAGAGGACCAAGGCTCCGGCACAGAGCCCTGCCTGCCTGCGCGCCTGATTCGCCGCCTGAGATAGAACTGTGGGCACCAGGGAACCAGCGAATGAGTTTCACTGTCCGGTGCAAACACACAGGGAGGGAAACGGCTGATCTGATCTCAGAGCACTCACCTGACACCCCCACCCTGAAAAGGTCTCGGGAAAATTACCCAGTTTAGGCAGACACCTAGGCTCCCAAAGGCCAGAAAGGCAGACACAGGCAGTTTCTGTGCACCAGACAGCTGGCAGAGACTGAGCCGCCATCTCCGCTGTGCTCCAGACACAGTTTCTGCAGCCAGCCAGCTGGTGGAGACTGAGCAGTGTGCACCAGGGCAAAAAGAGAGACTGGGAGTCCCTGTCTCCAGAGAACCCACAGGGAAGGAAGGAAACTGTACTGACTTAAATCACCCAATCCTTCCCTGGAAAAAGTCTAGCAAAAACTGGCGGGGCCGAGCCGCCATCACTCAGCTGTGCTCCAGACACAGGCACAAACAGTTGCTGCGTGCCAGATGTCCAACTGGGTCACAGCAGCTGATCATTAAATTTACAGCAAGAAACCCAGAAACAGGGCAGCTGTCCTCAGGACTTCCCTGGGTGGCATATACCCAAAAGAGGCACAACAAGGACATTTGCTCAACCATGGTTGTAGCTGCTTTATTTGTATTAGCCAGAAGCTAGAAACAGCCCAGATGCCCCTCATGAAGAATGGATGCAGAAACTGTGGTACATCTATACAATGGAGTATTACTCAGCAATGAAAAATAAGGAAATCATGAAATTTGCAGGTAAATTGTGGGACCTGGAAAGGATCATCCTGAGTGAGTTGTCCCAGAAGCAAAAAGACACACACGGTATATACTCACTCATATAAACATACAACATAGGATAAACCTACTAAAATCGGTACATCTAAACAAACTAAGCAAAAGAGAGGACCCTAACTAAAATGCTCAATCCCCATCCTGAAACGCAAAGAGGATGGACATCAGAAGAAGAAGAAAACAGGAAACAACCTAGGAACCTGCTACAGAGGGCCTCTGAAAGCCAGAAGAAGAAAACAGGAAACAACCTAGGAACCTGCCACAGAGGGCATCTGAAAGCCTCTGCCCTGCAGACTATCAAAGCAGATGCTGAGCCTGATGGCTAACTGGTAGGCAGAGTGAATGGAATTTTATGTAAAAAGTGGGAAATAGCAAGAGCTGGAGAGGACAGGAACTCCACAAGGAGAGCAACAGAACAAGAAAATTTGAACACAGGGAACTTCCCAATGACTCATACTCCAACCAAGGACTATTCATGGAGATAACCTAGAACCCCTGCAGATGTAGCTCATGGCAGTTTAGTGTCCAAGTGGCTTACATAGTGATGGGAAGAGGGACTGCCTCTGACATAAACTGATTGGCCTGCTCTTTGTTCACCTCCCCCTGAGGGGGGAGCAGCCTTACCAGGCCACAGAAGAAGACAATGCAGCCATTCCTGATGTGATCTGATAGACTAAGATCAGAAGGAAGGAGAGGAGGACCTCCCCTATCAGTGGATGTGGGGAGGAGCATACATGAAAAAAGGAGAGGTAGGATGGGGTCAGGAGGGGAAGAGGGAGGGGCTTATGGGGGGACACAAAATGAATAAAGTATAATTAATAATAAAAAAAGAAAGATCTCCTTGCTGGATCATATGGTAGAGCTATTTCTCGCCATTTGCAGAAACTGAATACTGATTTCCCTGATGGCTGTAGCAGTTTACACTCCCATCCATAGTCGGTACGTGGTCTCCCTTCTCCACACACACAGTAGCATTTTTTAGTCATTTGTTTTATTAATCTATTACAAAAAGATCTTAAGTACTACAAAAATGGATCAGTAGGAGAAAAATGTATCACAATTTTTGTATCCATTCCTCTGTTGATGGACATCTGGGTTGTTTCCAGATTCTGGCTATTACGAATAAAGCAAACAAACATGGTTGAGCAAATGTTCATATTGTGTACTTGAGAATCTTTTGGATATATGCCTAGGAGTGGTATAGCTGGATCTTGAGGAAGCGCTATTCCTGATTGTCCGAGAAAGTACCAGATTGATTTCCAAAGTGGCTGTACAAGTTTACCTTCCCACCAGCAATGGAGGAGGGTTCCCCTTTCTCCACAACCTCTCCAGCATGTGTTGTCACTTGAGTTTTTCATCTTAGCCATTCTGATGGGTGTAAGATGAAATCTCAGGGTCGTTTTGATTTGCATCTCTCTGATGGCTAAGGATGTTTAGCATCTATTTAAGTGTTTCTCTGCCATTCTATATTCTTCTACAGAGAATTCTCTGTTTAGCTCCATACCCCATTTTTTAATCAGATTGCTTGATTTGTTCCTTTTTAACTTCTTTAGTTCTTTATATATACTGGATATCATCCCTCTGTCAGATGTAGGGTTGGTGAATATCCTTTCCCCATCTGTAAGCTCTCATTTTGTTCTGAAAAAAAGTGTTCTTTGCTTTACAGAAGCTTTTCAGTTTCATGAGGTCCCATTTATTGACTGAACCTGTGCTGATGGTGTGCTGTTCAGGAAGTTGTCTCCTGTACCAATGAGTTATAGGCTCTTCCCCACTTTTTCTTCTAAAATGTTTAGTGTGTCTGGTTTTATATTGAGGTCTTTGATC